TTAAGAACTGTCTGCAGGAAGGTGATAAACTGCTTTTGAAGTGAGGGGGCAAGTACTCATAAAAAGGAACAGAGGATCACAAGGGGAAATGCCAGATATCAAAGGATGCTCCATAACTCACAACGATATGGACAACGTGCAGCAAAAGCACAATGGTAAGTTGGGCTTTGCACCCAGAAGTGACCGTCTGGGGTGGAACAAGTGTGACACCCAGAGCAGCACCTAAATCACCAGGCAGAAAAGTTTGTTTCCTACACAATGACCTTCAGAATAGTTCTGCAGACCCTGAGTCTCGTGAGCATACCTTCCAAAACCCTATTTTCCATGACCAGTGATCATGCAAAAACCAAGACAATCGAATTCCAAGCTGTAGAAAACTGAAAACATACCTAAAATTACTTAATATCAGGCTGCAGCCCTCAAGAAACGTAATCCATCATGAAAGCTTTGCCTATGGAGACAGAAAAGGCCCATTTGTAAGAAAGGAGCAGCTGGAGTTCCACGACTGGCACCAGAGGCCCTGGCAGCCCCCTCGGCCGGAGGCCTCTCCCAGGGATCCGTGGTCCCAGCGGTGGCCAGATCCCAGCTACAGCATTTATTCACAGCCCTTAGCTTTGGCTGTGCTGGGGCACTGCAGCTGCTGCCAGAACACCTACCTCATACTCCAAAGAACTGCAATGAAAACCAAAACTGCGAGGCAGGAATCACCTCAGGTAATGGACTTCATTCCAGACAATCTATTCTAATCGTGTAAACCAAATATTTAAATACTTTCTAAAACCTTCCTGACCCTTTCCCTAAAACAAGCAACATATGGGCTTTGCAAGCATTTCATCTCATTCCAAGCTACTAAAATATCCTGTTTCCTAAAAGTCAATGAGAGCTGGGGGTGCCAGATTCAGATCTTATAAAAGCCCAAATGCAGGAGAATGAAAAAGGGAGTGAGCAATGCTTTCCATGTTCAGATCCACCCATTTACCTTTCCCAGCTGCAGGAGGGGAGGAAGGCAGTGAGTGCTCCCTGCACTGTGCAGTGTGTGTCTCCACATTCCCTTCCCCAGATGCCCAGGGTGTCCTGCCCCTGTCACACCAGGGCACTCACTGGCTGCACACACAAACCCTGGCAAACCCAAAATGTAAGGTCTAATGCCGAATGAAGCTCCTGCAGGTTCCTCTACATGGGGATTAATTCAGATCAGAGGACTTGAGTAACCAGGACGCAGCAGCTGCCAAACAATAGAAAAAAACCAACAAGTTTAATTTACGCTGCCTGAAAGTCTGAGCTGCAGCCCATTAAATCCTTACAGGCAGAGGCTGCATCAAAGCACCGAGACCTTGCACTGCAAGCACGAAGTGCTTATGAAGTGGTTGTCTCAGCTGAGCAGCGCCGTGTCCCGGGAGGCTGCGGCGGGAAGCACGCGGCTTCCACATCCTTCACCAGCTCTCTCCAGAGTCAGGAGTTTTCAGATAATGAAGCAGTAGGGAAAAATTGCCAAACAGCAGAAATACTCCAAAAAGATAAATTACACACAGCGTAAGCTTCCTCGGTTAAGATTTTAAATTCTGTCAAATTAATCAGCAAACAAAGCCCAACAGAAGCTGCCCCAGTGCTGGGAGCGGAGCCCGGGTG